CACTGGAATTTCTGGCTCAAAGGATACATTTTTTCCCCATTGTCAAACAGTATTTTTTTTTTTTTAGAAATGTGCTACCTCAGTAAATTTCGGAAAATCCAGAAAAATAGAAAAGAAGGAAAATGAAAAATTATCTTTTATCTGTGATTTGAACATAACCACTGTTCACATTGTGGCATATTTTCATTTCCATGGTTTGTATTCTGTGTGGCTTCTTTTCTAAAATAAATGACTGCATACCTAATTTGCAACCTAATATTTACTTCAGATTTTACCGTAATTATTTCCTGCGTTTTTGCATTTTTCGTGGCTGTATCATATCCTGTTGTATGTGCTGCTGTGTTACTTGAAATGATCTCATAGACTTGAGGCCGTTTCCAGTTTTTCACAATTGCGGATGGTACTGCAATGAATCTTTTCATGGGAGTGAGGCTTTTTTATTTCCCCCTGAATCTGTGGCAAATTCTTTAGACAGCTTTCCAGAAATGAAGCTACTGGGACAAATAAAAAGGATTTCATGGTTCTTGGACCCATACTGCCAAATTATTTTAAAAGCCTCATGTCTTGTGAATCTGGGTGAATCATTGTTAAGGGCTTTTTACACCTAACCGGCCCTTGGAGATTTTGGCCTGATTTATCTCCCCTGCAGCCTCAGTCAGGGTTCTAAGCCCTTTCTGGGATCTCTTGGGCCCCACACATCGCCTGACTGAGGCGGAAAGTACCACCTCAACGCTGGCACCAGGCTCAGAGCGCCGCCTCCGCACCTGCCTCTGGACCTCGAGCGCCCCCTGCAGTCCCCGTGAGGAACTTCCGTCCTCGTCCTGCGACCTGCCTGCCTTTCCTTGTTTTCCCCACTAAGGCTTCCTCTGGCTGCCATCCAAGTGGGATAATGTCCTAAGCCCGTGCAGACGCGGTCCCAGCCTCTCATGGGTTTCCATTGTCCCTTAGGCAGCACAAGAGCACAATCCGTGATGTGTGAGTCTCCTGATACAACAGCTCTTCCTTGAGAAAGCTCTTCTTTTTCTTGGCCTAAAAATCTGTTTCCTTGGTGTTTCCTTCCCCTGCTCAGGTTGGACCCCTCATGGTCGCCGGTAACTAGTTGCTCACTCTTCTCTTGGACCTTTTCCCCAATTTATCTTACCCCGCGGTCTTCAAGCATCTTAACTAGTCCTATCTGCGTTTGGGGAGAGAGACTTAACTTCTCCGAGTCTCCGTTTTCTCGCCTGTAGAATGGACATCATTATCCCACGAAGAAGCCTAGCCTGGAAGTTTGGGCTCGAGATGGGAGACGGAATACATGCATTTACCTCTCCCTCCTCCTGAGAATCCACGGAAGGAAACTAAAGAAGGACAAGGAAGGACAAGACAAACTAATAGGAGAGCTGAGAATTGGTGTGGGGGAGGATGACTTGGACAGCACACCAGTGAATCAGAGGTTACAAAATTTTTCTGGAATACTGGAATCGGTCAAATCCCATTGATGAGTAAACGGGTGGAGAGGAAGCCGCAGCTCAGATAAAAAAATAGAGAAGTCTATGGGGGTTCTGTGTTATTTTGTTTTGGGGTGGTTGAGGGGGTCAGGCTGGGAGAGTGGAAGAGGAAGTGGTCACAGAAACCAGGATGGGGACTGAGGGAAGACGTGGCTATAGCCTGCCACGTGATCATCAGGTTGGCCTCTTTCCCCCTCCTTGTAAAACTCCACCAATTCCCCATAGGCTGAGCCTACGAGATGTCTCTGAAAAATGGAGTAACCAGTCTAGGAGGGGCCGCGGCCCGTGGAAAAGGGTCAGAGGAGGGCCTTTTAGGTTTTGGCACTGAGCGGTGGGCCATACCTGCCTGCCAGCTCCCCACCTGGGCGTGCTAAAACCAAGCCTGCCAGTCAGCAAACCTCACTGACACCCACACATCCTGCTTGCAGCTCAGAGAAGCAGAAATTGTTCGAGAAAGAGGAAACTTAACAACAAACATTTAAAAAAATTTTTCATGCATTGGAGAGATTCAGGAAAGGACTTAAACAAATAAATAAGGTATTATGATAAATGTTTACAGAAGAAACTCTTACTCTATTAAAATATGATTGACCAAAATTTTTTTTAAGATTTTTAAAATTTATTTATTTGACAGGCAGAGATCACAAGCAGGCAGAGAGGCAGGCAGAGAGAGAGGGAGAAGCAGGCTCCCCGCTGAGTGGAGAGCCCAATGTGGGGCTTGATCCCAGGACCCTGGGATCATGACCTGAGCCAAAGGCAGAGGCTTAACCCACTGAGCCACCCAGGTGTCCCTGATTGACGAAAATTTAAAAGATTAGTAAGAGGATTGCAAAAAGCCTGAGAAATTTCTCGAAAGCGCCCAGTGAAAAATAAAGGGCACGTCATGTTGGTATTTGTAGCAGCAGTGGCAAACATTGGAAGACAATGGAGCAATGCCTTCAAGAGGCCTAAGAAAAATTATATTGAACTTAAAAAATTTGATATCCAGCCAGACTATCAAACAGGCATGAGAGGAAAATAAAAGTGTTTTCTGATATTGAGGGAATCCCAAACTCCTCTGAATTCATTCTTTTGGTTAAAAAAAAAAAATTGATTGAGGTTATACTCCAGCAAAATAGAAAGGAGCCCAAGATAGAGGATGATGGTGGAGCCAAGAAACAATGGGTCTAGCCTAGGAGAATAATGAAAAGAGATCCCGGGATGACAGTTGTACAAAAGATCAGGAAAGCAGCCAATACATACTAGATCGCTCCACAAATAGCAAGGAGGGGAAGGCAATTCGAAATGCAAGAAAACAAAAGCCTGATGGTCTCTGATGGCCAACTTGACATTGGCTGGTGAAGTTGACAGCTGCTCCCAGCCTCGGAGGGGCCCGGCTTTTGGGCCCTTGACAGTATGAATGAATACTACCCCAGAGCTTGAGTTATCCACGCGGTGCCGGGGGTGGTGGTATGGGGGCAGAGTGGACCCAGTCTCCCCCTCCTCAACGCCAGCCTCCAGGGACGGCAGCCTTCGCCTCACTCCTTCTACGAAGCTGTTTCTGCATCTCCACTTGCTCTCAGTTGCGCGCCTTTGGAGTCTGTAAATCCAGATTCGAATCTCAATTCCATAAACTGGCTGTGCAGCCTTGGGCAAGTCACATAACCTCTGTGAGCCTTGGTTTCCTTCTCTGGGGAAAATGGAACCGATAACAGTATTGATCTCGTGAGGTTGTGTTGTGATGATCAAAATGAAAATAATGCAGCGGAGATGTTGGGCCCAGTGCCTTGCAGGTGGTAGGTGCTTAATATTTTCATCTATTATTAGACCACTTTATTCTTTTAAATAACGGGTAGCATGCATGGACCATAGATTCCTAACCCAGATCTCCTGGGGGATCCAGAGATGGCTCAGTGGGTTCAGACTGCATGTAAAATTGAGTGAGGGTAGTTAATATGTGCATTTTTAGGGAGAGGAAGGCTCATTGCTGTACTTCTTATAGATGCTTATGGCCCGTGCTCTGCATGGTCCCTGGCAGGGCTAGGTCGGCTTAGTGGTGGCTCTGTCATGGGAGAGACGCGTGAAGTTTCCTCTTTGTTTCCCACTATGTTTCATCCACTAATTCTTGTTTTGTCACCCTATTTCTTTGTGGTTCAATCTTCTTATTTTTTCCCCTATTTACTCTTCTCTCTTAAGTGGAAAAAAGGACTTGGTAGAGAGTTAACTCTATAAGGGAAAACACCAAGTTTCCCCAGGTATATAATACACTGCCGCGCGTGCGTGTGTGTGTGTGTGTGTGTGTGTGTGTGTGTGTGTGGCAGCATGTCATCTGTGATTGTACAGGCAGGAAATACCCCTGGAGTGTTACACAAGTAAGTGCTTATTGTCATTGTCTTCAGAAGGAGGGACTGGGGCACAAAGGTGGGGAGGAGACTTATACCCTTTGGATCTTTTGTGTTTTGTACATTGTGCATGTAGACCTATTTAAAAATAAATGATTTTTTAAAAAATCCAGGATTCCTCCATACAACCCAGCCTGTTGCAGGGCTACCCTGGGGAGTAAATGAGAGCGTGTGTGCGGAAGGTTCAGCATAGTGGCTGGTGCACTGTAAGGGCTGTGTTAGGCACGATGGCCGCACCGACAGTCATCAAGCTTGGCTGGACTTGTACCAGAGCAGGTGGAAGCTGATGTGTGTGTCAGCAATCTGAGGCAGCGGGGGGGGGGGGGGGCACAGCAGAGACCTCAGACTCTCTTCACATTGACTTCTGGGAACAGCAAGAACCTCAGTGAACAGCATCACTTTCTCCCGGCCCCTGTCTGTCCCATCAACCCCATCCAAAGTGGGCCCAAATAAGCAGACCAGGGAGCAAATGCCCTTGATGTCTTGGCCTTGGGGATTTTCTTTAGATCCACTCAGATATCCTGCACTAGGAGTTCATGGGTGATTCGGCGTGAAAGTCCCTTAAATATCACTCTTAACACAACAAGGAATTCTGGGCCAACATTATGCCAGGAGAGCCTGGCTAAGATTCAGTTAGTCCCAAAGCAGACCCTGTACAAGGACTTTCGTTGGTGGGGAATCCCAGGAAACACTGATAGGAAAATGGACACAAGTGAGGTAGGGAGGGAAGGGAGCCAGTATGGGGTAGGTTATTGAGTGGGGTATGGCTGTGGGCTACTGGAGTGCTACACCGCTGGGGACTTCTTGGGGCATGGTGTGGAACCTGCCTCAGATTTGTCCCACCGTAAGGGTAGAGATGCTGGGGGTATGTATCTGCCAACTCTCGTTTGTCATCAGCTAAGGGCTGTTCCCAGGGGCACTGACTCCCCAGTACTCCTGGGCTGCTCTGTGCATGCACCAAGCAAGATCACACGGCAGGAGAAAGCCCCCTCAGGCAGAGCTGCGGGATCCTGGGGTTAGCAGGCACCTGCCGACGGGGTGCAGGCTGGCGCTTACCGTATGCAATGGTGTCAGCCCTTCGTGGTCCTGCTGGATTAGGGGAAAACAGTGCTCTGAGCCACCAGACAACCATGAGTGAGACCTTTATTTTTCCAGCACTTTACATGAAGCACACCAACACCGCATCTGAGCAAATATATAAAAAGCATAACCTATAGTACAATAATTCCAACTTCTCGACTAAGGCACTGTACAGATGCTTCCTGGGCCTCGGCCCCCAGCACAACAGATGGGTTTCAGGGGCAGCAGCTGCACTTATCCGAGCCCCCTTTGCAGATGCAGCCCCGGGCACACTTGGCACAGCCCGGAGGGCAGCAAGGACAGCAGCCTGGAAGGGTCAGGAGATGGGACAGGTCAGTTTGGGGTCAACTTTTTCCGCGTCCTCTCCCACCGCTTAAGAGAAAGTAGGAAGGGCAGAGCAGGCCACAGGCTTCAATCCACAATAGCAGAAAACCCCAGGGCAGCAAGCTGTGGGATGTCAGAACCAGGAGGGATCTCCAGGGTCATCGGGAGTTTACCACTTGCAGAGAGGGGAAGGGGCTTGCTCAAGATCATAGGTCAGTGGCAGATCTAAAAATAAAACCCAGAGCTCGTGACTCCCCGTCAGTGCTCAATCCCTTTCAGCACTGGGCACAGCAGGATCTCCCTGAAGCCCTCTTCCTCCTCGAACACCCACAACTCCTCAGACGCCCTCACCCCCAGGTGAGGCTGTCCTCCCCTTAGGAGCTTAGCCCCTCAGGCCTCAGCTCAGCTGTCATTTCAGATCCCTCCCAAACGGGTCCAAGCCCTCCAGAACCCGCTTAATCCCACCATGGCTGCAGGGTTGGGAAGGGAGGGAAAAGACTTTCCTAGCTTCTGGCCAGCAGTGCCCCGGGTCAGCATAACTCACTTTTTCGGCATGTTTTACAGTTGCAAGTTGTACATTTGCAATTGTCTCCGCAGATGCAGATTCCTCCTAGAAGAAAGAACAGAGCCCTAAGCGTGAGGACTGAGGTCAAATGGGGATGCAAGGTGTGCAGCAATCTGTCATAGTGCCAGGGTTTCTGGCCTGTCTTTGGGGAGTGGCTGGACAAGAGGATGGAGATGTCCCCTGAACATCACCCCCGGGGCGTGGGCCCTTGGATGGTTCCCAGCCACAGTCCCTGGATGGAAACTGGGGTGGCTGCATTGGGCCCCTCAGCCGGGATACTTGCTAAAATGCAGATTCATGAGATTGACCCTTGATATCCTGATTCATAAGTCTGGGTGGAGAAAGGGAATCATATCTTAAAAAGCAACCCAGATGATTCTGAGGTATGATCAGGTTTGAGAACCACTAAACCAGGCCAAGTCACCAAGCATGAGGTCCCCCAGGGACTGTGGAAGCCTTGTATACCCTCTTTACCTTTTCAAGGCATCAGGCAAGACAGAAACCCTGAATGGGCAGGAGAAAGACCAGGGACACCTTAATAACCTTAAAGCGAGAGCTGCAACCATTTTTCATATAAAAACCATCTGCACTTTAAAAAAAAATCATTCCACTTATCATTTGGAGCGTCAACTTTTGAGCGTCAAATGCTGGAAGTTTCTGTCTCTTGGGCAAGTTTGGGGTACAGACATGTCCTGCTAAGGACCGGAGAGGTTTAATGAGAATTCTTGATGCCATTTCCAAAGCCCAAGATGCCTCCAAACTTTGACCTATCTCCTCCCGTGCTATGTGCTTCCACGGAATTAAGGGGATTCAGAGACTCGGGAGTCCACATAAAACTTCCAATGACTCCCCTGACCTCTGCAAGTGCCTTGTGATTTTAGCACTTTCTTAGCAGCCCTGGGAGGTGGGCAGCTGGGGAGGAGTGACCCTAGTTTTCAGATGAGGATACGGGGGCTCAGGAATATGAAATGTCAGGAGTGAATGGCATCAAGGGACCCAAACCAGATTGCCAGGCCCTTGACTGTGGTGGCTGCCCCTAGGGGCCTGACACTAAGTGCCCCTTGAGCCAAGGTCTCAATTTTAGCAAATCAGCCTGGTAGGCAACTGAGTGGGCACCACACCAGAGGTCGCCAGTCTGAGACAAACCCCATGGGCAGCTCCTAATTGGAGGAAGAGAAATATTTATCAGAGTCCTGTGGGCTCCATATTGGAAGCTGGTGCAAGGTTCCAGGACCCCAGACTGGGCATCCTTACTCACCAGACATGCAGGTGCATTCCCCGGGGTCCATGGTCCAGGCGTCCAAGAGGCTTCAGTGCTGTGACGGCTGGGGAAGAGAAGCTGAGTGAGCCACTGCCAGAGGCTCCCTATTTATAGCTGTGTAGGTGTGCACTTGGGCGCACCCCACCTGTCCCTGGGGCCAGACGCCCTGCACACGGCCCAGCCAGACGCTGCAGGCTGGGGGTTGGAGAGCGCGGGCAGAAGGAGGGCAGAGGAGAGGACGAGCAGTACAGTCATACAAATGCTTCTCACAAGGGGTGCAGGTGGCTGCACCCGCCATCTACCCACGTGCCAAGGTGTCAAGGAGCCAGGTTCAGGCTCCAGCGGCACTCACAGTGCTCGGATTGGCAGGTACACCTGTTTGGTCTCCAAGTCCTCTGCAATCTGCTATTTCTGCTCCCTCCTTCCTTCACAGGGCCTGGCTCACAGGGCTTCATTTTTGTCTCCCCTGGTCATGAAAGCCCTTACCGTGGGCAAAAGGGGGCCCCTATCTGGAGTTGTGGGCTTTAGAATACTCCACTCAGGCCTTATCTTGGCATGTCCCCCAGACCCGAGTGAGAAGGCCAGAAGTAAGGGGCACGTGCCCAATGGGAGTGTGCAACCTCTCCTTCTAGACCACACATGTAACATGCTGAATTCTGGAATTTTCTCTCATCCCAAGCCAGTCTGCTTTCAAGGGTTTGCTTGGACCTCTGCCCTAGGCTCCTAAAGGGCAGATGGGCAGCCAGTGTGTGTCCCTCTAGGCCTGAAGGCTGGCTGGAGGTAGCCGTGTGCTGGGGGTATGAACAGAGTTTGGATGTGTGGGCTGGGTGCCTATGGGTATATGTGGGGTCTCGTGCAGTGAGGGAAGGAGGTAGGGATGGAAAAAGACTGGACATGGGCCCCAGATTGGGGGTTGGGGCCATGGGGCGGATCTCTGGGCACCATCCTGTGTGAAGATTTGAGAATTAAACATTGAACCCGGCCCTTCAGTTTGCTATGAAGCTCTCTTTGGAGGGCTGGGGGATAGAAAGTATTTTATTTGTTCATTTGATTTATAACTTTTAGGTATTTTAGCCATTGACATGGGAACCTCCATTTACACTATTGCTCTGACACACACACACCCTCCCACCCCTGGCCACAAACATTAGGAGGGGTCTGGAATCAGCCTCCTGTGGCCTGCCTTCTCCTCTTTGTTCTCCACTCCGCCCCAGAGATCTAGCCCCCAGATAACACTGGCCATGTTATTCTCTTGCTCAAAACCTTCAGTGGCTCTCACCCTCTGCTAACTGAAGCCCAGACACCATAGTCTTGCGTTCCAGGTTCAACTTACCTCTCCAAGGTCACTGTCCACTCCTCCCTTCTACCCCCTCCACCAAAACGTAAGGAATCCGGTTTCTCTGTACTTGGCCTTGAACTTTTCCACCTCCAGGCCTTTGCTCCTGTCAGGTGTTCATCCTTTTCCCTTCCACCTTGAGTCCAAATAAATCCTCCTCATTTACTGAGGCATGAATCAGATGCCATTACTTGAGTGGGAGAAGCAAGGGGATACTTTGTGGGTGAATGAAGCCCCCGATCTCATCATGATCAGGCAGCTGACTGATCTTCAGTCTTATGGAACGGGCCCTCCTGATGATGCAGCTTCAAGCTGCCCCCAGATTCTGCCACCCTCACCCCATCTCCATGAAGAGATTCTGGAGCTGTGGCTGCTGACCCTTGCTCCAGGAAGCTGCATCTGATCTCTCCCTTTCTCACCTAGAAGAAACCTTTCCTTCTGGGACCCCTCTGTGACTGGTCTGTATATTTCTCATGCCATTTACTACTTTTTACTCCACTGTGTGAGTGCGTTCATGGGTCTCGTGCTCTGTGTCCCAATCTCAGAGCTCTGGGAGGCAAGCCCTGTGTCGGAAGCATCTCGATTCTGAAGTGGTCTGCACAACGTTTAGGAAATGAACGAATGAGATGAAGAGTAAGATGACTGAAGATGGGAGTGAGCATGGGAGTGAGTGAGAAGTGGACAAATAAATGCACGAGGCTCCTGCCTGTGGGTACTGAGGACCTCTCCTGAAAAATACCGTCACCCTTCAGAAAGGCTAAAAAGATGGGGCATGGCCAGACCAATGGCGACAGTTCCTCCTCCTTGTAAATTGCTGGGGTCTCCATCATTTATGGGGTCTCCATCATCCATTATGTAGAAGGATTGCTGAAACCATGGGTTTGAGCTAAGAAGTTCCAGGGAGGACAAAGGCATTCAGCCCCACTGGACACCAGCAAGGCACAGGAAGGGTAGGTAGGGGTTGTCTTGTGTTGATGTAGAAATGGGCCCTGCCTGCGACGAGTTTATAGCCTTCCAGGGGATCCAGGCAGATTCCATTCACTCACCTTCTTCTGAGAGCCAGCACTGTGCTGGGCACTGGGGAGCCAAGGGTGAGTAACACCAGAGCTTACAGTTCGTTGAGAAGGTCAGGAGGACATCTCAGGCCGGGAAACCCCTGCCTTCGTAGGACTGTTCTCAGAGCTCAGAGGCTGGTTTCGTCTCCCTGGGCCCGCATTCCCAGCCCATGTCTTGGCAGGACCAGCCTCCCCCCACCTCCTGCACGTGTCCCCTGCAGCAGATATCAATGCCTTACAGGGTCTAGCCTAACCTGCGAGCCCAGAGCAAGGAAGGGATTTTCCTTCACCTTCATCCAAACCAACTCTCCTCCCTCTTTCCTCTCTGAGTCAGGAATGGCTTCTTCCTCACATGATTGACTCCGTGATGTTGCTTAAGGCCCCAACTGAATGATAATCTCCAAATTCAATCCCGTAGGTAGCATGAAGCTATTTCCCAGGTTCTGCGCTGCGTAGATTGAAACGATTTTGTGTAGCTTCAGGCAGTCAAGTTCATGTTGAACTCTGCCCCAGGCTGTCCGCTGTCCTGTCCTGGTTGCACAGTCCTTCCAGTGCCTGGGGAAGCACACCCACAGGTCCCTTTTGCATGTCTTCTGGGTCTCAGCTCCAGATTTTTGCATGGAGCATAAAAACAAAAATACATGCATCACCTTGAAAACATGCAATGGCTGCAGGCAGAGCTTAAATCCGCGCTTAGAAAATTAGTATTTCAGGGATGCCTGCGGGGCTCAGTCTATCAGGCCTCTGCCTTCCGCTCAGGTCATGATCCCGGGATCCTGGGATGGAGTCCTGCATCGGGCTCCCTGCTTAGCGGGAAGACTGCTTCTCGCTTCCTCTGCTGCTCTCTCTCTGTGTCAAACAAAAAAAAAATAAAATCTTTAAAAAAAAAAAAAGAAGAAAATGTATATTTCAAAGAAGTATTATTTAATCTTGAAAGAAGTGATCCTTCGCTTTCTTGGGGTTTTCAAGGAGTCCTATGAAAATCTGATGGAAGCTCTTGATCCTTTACCCAGAAAAAAAGGCCCCAAACCACAACATTTCCCCCCACAGGTTCAGAGGTTCTGTGCATCTCTTAAATCTTGTTGGTGAACCCAGACTCCCACCCTCGCACCGTGCCCAAGGGGTCCCGAGGTAAGAACTTCTGTGCAGGCTGCAGCCTCTCTCCCCTCATCACACGGTAGCGGGAGCTCCTTTGAGCCGCAGCCCTAAGTATCTCCTCCAGGTATGGCCTCACCTTCGTGCCTACGTCGAGGGTTTTTTTTCAGAACAATGAAACAGGTTGTTCCCAAGAACCAGCTAATACCCCTGGACCTACAACACACGAAATGACAGGGTTTCCATAGTCTCCCCTTCCCATCAGGGTAAAAGCTTAAGGCCCCATGTTCCTGAGCCCAGCATTTTTTTGCCAGAAAGTTTCTGGCACTCACGGCTCAGGAATGAAGGTTGGGCCAGGTGCTGAGGTCGGAGAAAAACCCTGTGCCGGGACTCCACACCTTGGTCCGTGTTTTGCTCCTGGGATCACCATCTTTTCCTACACAGGGAGCCTCTGGACATACATGCCCCCAGCCAGCCCGGAGCAGCCTGGAGCCATCGGTTTTGTTATGCTGGTTTAGATACTGACCTCTCTTTCCAGAGGACACACTTCACAAGAACAAAGGCTGCACTTCCTCATCTCAGCATCCCCGTGGCCAGACTCACAGAGTGCTGCCGCCCAGTTATGGGCCGATGAGAGTTCCCAGAGTTCCCAGAGTTACATCTCAGCTGTCTTCCCTGGCTCTCGTGGAGGAGATGGAGAGGAACCTACGGCTCAGCAAGAGCTGTGAAGAGCTTGAGATTCAGAGTTCTGCGGCCAGACTCGGCTCCTTCTTTGCTGTGTGATGTGGGCCAAGAGGCTTGACCTCTCTGAGCCTGCAGCACTCTCGTCTGGCTAATGAAAACGATAATCCTATGGCACTGTCCTTGTGAGGGTTAGGCAGGAGAATGTGTAGTAGTAATACGCACTTATTAGCAGTAGGAATACTGTTAACACCCGGCAGACGGGTTCAGCCCCCCACCCGTTTGTATGTTTCAGGCTCACGGACTATTCTGCCGTCTGTCTTGGGGTTCTGAGGGGGACGCGTGCAGACTTTCCAAATATGGTGGGCCGCCTGGGTGGCTCAGTCAGTTAAGCATCTGACTCCTAGTTGTAGCTCAGGTCATGGTCTAGGGGCTATGAGATCTTGCCCCACACTGGGCCTTGCGCTCAGTGGGGAGTCTGCTTGAGGGTTCTCTCCTTCTCTCTAATTGTCCTTCCCCACCCCTGCGCTCTCTCCCAGATAAATAAATAAATAAATAAATAAAATCCTAAAAAAAACAAAAAACAAAAAAATCACTTTTCAAATATCATCACTAAAAGTCTCTACTCTGTCACTGAAGTTCCCTCCTTTTAAGCTCAGCCTAATTCCTTTTGTGTTCTCGAGGGCTGGGGACTGTGGGGTCCTATCCTTTCTGACTCCCCTTGGTACAGTTTTCATCTGTTTGGAAGCAGAGCGCCCTATGGGGTATTTCTGGGCTCTATTTCTATGGGCTCTACCTACAGAGCCCCCATGGGGTATTTCTGGCCTTATCTGCAGGACTAGGCATGAAAGGTGGGTGGATACCATCCAGGCCATCAGGGACCCTATGGGGCACCAGCTTGAATCCCGGATGTTTATCCCCAAAAGAACCCTGAGATATTGTGGGCCAGCTTTTGTTGTTCAAATGGGGAAACAGGGTCAACCTCTAGTCATTGCACTTAGGTTCCTGGCAGTGGAGGACCTGAACTTGATTCCTCAATTCGTTACTAGTACCCACGCTTTAGGTCCGAGGCACTTCTCACAGAACTGGTCACCTGTTTGGAGCCTTGTGGCCTTATAAACTATTTATTAATTAACTTTATTATTAAAGAGTTCAAACCTACTAAAAAGTACAAAGAAGGGTATTATAACCACCATCATATCTACCACCCAGAATTAACAGATGTCAACATGGTCATATTTGCTATAGCTCTTTTATTTATAAGAAATAAAAAATTAACAGGCTTACGGCTTTAAACACTGTCTGTGTGCTAGTGACTCCCAGTTTATATCTCTAGCCCTGGCCTCTCTTTTGAACTCCAGCCCCATATTTCCAGCTGTTATCCAACATCTGCATGTGGATGTTGAACAGCATCTCAAACCCCGTCCCCAAATGAGCTGCTGCTCCCCACCTCACCTCCAACCAGCTCCCCTCTCAGTCTTGTCTACCTCCACCCCTGCTACCCAGTTTGGGCCATCATCATCCCCCGGGAAGATTCAGCTCGTTTCCTAACTGGCCCCCTTACATCTTCCCTTCCCTAGACCCCTGTAGCATGTTTTCTTTATTACAGAAATACTGCAGGGAAGGTCACCATTCATGTCATGTACACCAGTATGCAAAACTCACTCATCCCTGGAGGGATGGCTAGGTGGTGGTCTCCCAAGATCTCCCAAGATCTTATACTAATTTATACTAATTTCCCTCAAGCAATTTCTGAGAGTTCCCATTTCCCCATTTCCTCCTCCAGTGCTTCCTGTATTCAGACTTCTAAATGTTTACCCATCTGGTAAGTGTGAAGAAGTGTAATGGTACCTCACAGAGGTATAGTTTGCTTGTCCCTGCCTCCCAGCTTCATCGGCCATTATCCTCCAGATGGTGAGCCATGGTCTGGTTGTCCTCATACTTGATCGTAGGCTTCTCAGCAGCCTTTCACACTCTAGCAAGAGAGAGCACAGCAAATATTATAGGCAGGGGTCCTTTGCACATGGTTAGCATCCTGACTCTTCTATCTCCCTTATCTCTGTGAACCCCAATTACAAAATGGGGGTCACTGGGTCTCCTCATGGAGCAGACATTTAACATACAAGTGCTCAAGGAATGGTAGCTATTATTAAGATTTTGTGTTTGCGGTGGCGTGGTATGTTCATAGGCGGCTTGATATGGAGTCAGATATACCTGGAATTTGCCCTCAGTGCTTTGGCAAGGCATGTGACCTTTCCAAACATCAGTTTGTCATCTTTAGAAGGGAGATGATAATAAGTGGAAGGAGCAGGACAGGAGATGCGAGCATAGAAAAGTCAAAGGAGCGGTTGGAAGCCGTGAAGAACGTTAAGGGCAAATATCTTTGTCACAAATCTGTTCCATGGCCTAGCCTGGAAAAAAGCATGGCACAGAGGGGTGACAGAGCCCCAAACCCTGACGGGCTGGGCTTTGGGGTAGGAGGCTGGTTGAGAGGAGCAGGTGCAGCGCCCTCCTTCCCCATGCATTATTACTCTTCCCCTGCTGGGCTAACAAGATGCCTCCTCCTCTGTGATCCAAATTCTGAAGATCTTATCATTAGGAAGAGGTTCTGCAGATTTTGATAAACTCTAAGGTTCTTCACATTTCCTTTTTTATTTTTACACATTTATATATACATAAATATATTTTTCTAGACATTTGTTCCAACAGCTAAGGTGACGGTGGGTAACCGTCACCCAACAGACAGAGAAAGCTGCACCTGCCAGGGATTCTGGGGCAGTTCTGTCTCAGGATAGCTCCAAGAAAGCCTCTTCCCTCCAATCAAAATACACACACACACACACACACACACACACACACAGAATTCTGTTTTCCAGGCCCCTACTTCCATTTATGGAACCTGGGTAAAGAACCCCTTAACCAGTGCATGACCAGCCTCTGAGGACCTGGATCTCAGTTCTGTGGATCGTAAAAATCAGGCCAAGTCTAATTAAGCACCATCTTGCTCGATGCCCAATCACCTGTGTGCTCAGCAGACTTCACAGACTCTCTGGAGTTTGTGGCTGCTGCTTAATTACATAGGACTCCAGCTACAGGGCTGTAATTCAGTACCCACTGGGCAAGTGAAACCCTCTGCTTTGCACATGGCCCTAAAGGAAGGATGAGTAAGGCCAAAGCCAACAATTACCCATACTCATTGCCCCCAGCAGCAAAGCTGCTGGCCCGGGTTGGCTGGCAGCCCAGAAAAGGGCTTTGGAGATGGGGCAAGAGGCTCACATCTGTCCATCCATCCTTCCTTTGTCCTTGCCCTCCCTCCCTCCCTTCCATCAATCATTCAGCAAACATTCAGGGCCCACTGTGCACTAGGCCTCAGGTTAGCCCTCTGGATGGGGTAAGTGAGTCAGACACGGGGCCTGGTCATCAGAAGCCTGCTTGCCAGCAGGGGCGATAAGTACGTCAATAGCTATCGGAAAAAGAGAAGGCGAGTGGGATGTAGGGCACGCATGTGTGGGATGGTGCTTGAATGACCTTGAGAGTGAGGAGCTCCTTAGATTTTGTGCCCTGGGTGCCTCACTTGTCTTACTCTGGTCTCGAGCCCTTCATTTCTCCCAGTTCAGGTAAGCTCTGAGCTCCTTGTGAAATGTGGGAGTTTTTACCCGGTGCATGTTCACAGCCCTGGGGGTTCATGGAGGCGTACTGCAGGGGCTGGTGCAGACGGGATGTTCTCATCCCTCCTCTCCTGTATTTAAATGGGGCAGGGGCGCCTGGGTGGCTTAGTCAGTTAAGCATCTGCCTTTGGCTCAGTTCGCGATCCCAGGGTTCTGGGGTAGAGCCCTGTGTCAGGCTCTCATTCAGTGAGGAGTCTGCTTGTCTGTCTCTCTTCTTCTGCTTATGCTCTTTTTCTCTCAAATAAATAAATAAAATCTTTTTTAAAAAATGGGGCAGCTGCTCTTTTTAAACTCCATTTTGCCTTATTCATTTCATCCACCTCCTCTCACATAATAACTGGATCTGGGGTGGGGACAGTGCTGCCACTAGAACCAGTGGGAACACCATCACACAGACCTTGCCTTCAAGGCTACCTGAGTTGCCCAAGGGAATGATGGGTGCTTGTAGATCTGGAATCTGAATGGGAACTCTAGCCCAATGCCCTTCCTCGTTTTCTCTCGTTTTATACAATTATTATTTATATTCTGGATGATCTGAAAAACAGATAAGAATTGAAAATCGGATATGTAAACTTCCAGTTAGCAAATATTAACAATAAGTCCTATTCATTTCAAAGACTTAAAGAACAAAACAAAGAGTGGAAACCTCCCACGTAAACTTCCCATATCTTGTTCTGACCCCACCACCAAACCCAGGAACTAATTTCTTGAAGTGTTTACCATGCCCACGCATGTTTTTCTACTTTTACTACACATATATGTACCTATAAAAATTACATGGTCTTGTTTTACAAGTTTGTAACCTCACATAAAATGGCATCATTCCTCATGGAGCCTTTTACAACCTTTTTTTTTTTTTGGTTGCTTTTTTTGGTCCAGTATTTTGAAATTTATGATTTTAACTGTGTCATAGCATTCTATTTATTTATTTATTTTTAAGGATTTTATTTGACAGACAGAGATCACAAGTAGGCAGAGGCAGGCAGAGAGAAAGGGGGAAGCAGGTTCCCCGCTGAGCAGAGACCCCCAATGCAAGGCTCGATCCCAGGACCCTCAGATCATGACCTAAGCCAAAGGCAGAGGCTTAACCCACTGAGCCACCCAGGCGACCCCATAGTATTCTATTTATAAGACTGCTTCACAGTTCAATCCTTTTCCCTGCTGATGACCATTTCAGTGTTTCCCCTTTTCCATTATTATGAACATTGTTGCAATGGATTGTCACACACATGTGGTTTCTTGTGTGACATGTGCTACAGTTTCTCTGGGGGGTAAAGCTGGAAGCAGAGTTGCTGGATGGAAGGTCATGTGCTTATGTTACCTTCCTAGATATTCCCAAATTGCTCACCAAAAATTTACATTCCTGTGACCAATGTCCCCTCTGAGTGTCCTTGTCCATGTCCTTGTTAACACTTGGTATTTTCGGACTTAATTTTCATCAGCCTGACAGATATAAAATGGCATTTCCCTGGTTACTGATTTACACTTTCCTAATTGCTACTGAGGCTGAGCATACTATCATAAGATTTTTGGCTATTTGGGGCCCCTCTCTGTGGTCCAGGATTTTTGCTGACACACTGCATTCCATGAGAGCTCAGTGGGGCAGCACACTAACGGATCTGACTTTGGGACCAGTTTATATCACTTTCTTGGCCACACGGCCTGCCTTTGTCTTCCCAGGTTACTGGCTTGTTTTAAAGATTTTTAATTTTTTTATTTGTTAGGGAGAGAGAGAGCACACAAGCAAGGGGAGTGGCAGGCAGAGGGAGAAGCAGACTCCCTGCTGAGCAAGGAGCCTGATATGGAACTCGATCCCAGGATCCTGGGATCATGCCCTGAGCCAAAGGCAGATGCTTAATGACTGAGCCACCCAGGCATCCCCACATTACTGGTTTTTAATGATTTCCCCGTTCAGAAGGCTCAAAGTGACCTTGGGGATGAAGAAGATGAACACCCAGGTATGTCCCTAGGAAGGCCACTCAGGGTTGGGTGGGGAGTGGAGGGGCCACCCAAAGCATATCCTCAGCCTTCAAGTTCTCTGCAAGCAGTCACTCAGCCCCTGGGGGAATGGTGACGTGGGCAAAATTGGTTTTAGGCTTCTGCATTTTATCCCCTTTGTTTAGAAACCCTTCCTTCCAGCTGAAATGTATTTATAGGAAGGGGTTCTGGATTTGCCTTGTAATGCCTCTCAGGAATGCCTGAAGAAAGAGAGAAGCAGAAGACAGAAGAACTGGAATTAGCATAATTCTAGAACACCAGGGCTGTTAAGGGCAATAATGTGGTCTAAACACCCTCTCAATCCCAAACCCGTCTACAGATAGGGAGCCTGAGGCTCTGAGTGGGGGCGTGCCTCGCCTATCATCCATCCCCAACCTCACCCCCAGGTGCAGATCAGCTGGGTGAGGTGATGCATCGAGGAAACAAACCTCCCCGGGCTTCAGAAACCTCCTACGGACTATCAAGTGTGCCCATTCCCAGAACCACCTCTCAGATGAAGCAACCACTTAGGGCCCCACATGGTGCCCCATGCCTCACCCAGGGGTACAAAGAAGGTTTTATGGTATAATTGGGGAGCCAAGATGCCCAGGGGAAAGACCATCGGCAGGCATCACAGAACCATGTGCCTGGGTGGTGCAATAAAGCAGAGAGTCTGTCCTGAAGCCACCTCTCCCCTCCCCATCTTCTCTTACTCACTCTGCATTCCTTCCCCTTCATGTCCTCTCTCATTCCCCTCTACCTTCACACATCTCACTTTTTCTCTTGTATCTTCTTCTCTCTTCTAAGGCAAGACCACTGGCCTGGGACTCAGGGCAACTGAGTCCTCTAAATTCACTCCCTGGTGTCACTCACTCACAAGTTTACTTCTCTGCCGGGGGCCTCAGTTTCCCCAAAACACCGAGGAGGTGGCCACAGCTAGGTCTCTGCTCAGGCCCCTCCTCGCTCTGTTCTGGGGGCTGCTAAAGAGACAGCTGTTGGGAAGATGCCTGACACTATGATTTCTGGAGGGGCGATTCCCTCAGCCGAAGTCACAGAAAAGCAGTTCGTATTTAAAGCATTGGGATCAAAACCACTTTTTCGAGAAACTCCACTAATTGTTCATTGTCTGCAGGCCCTTTTTGGCTGCGCTTTTCCTCCAAATATGCGGATGGGCATAGAGCAGCTCAGGACCTACAGCCTCTGTAGTGAGCTCTGCCTACAGTGGCCGACCTCTTGCTAGACCTCCAGTGCTTCCTCTGGTTCCACAATCTTGGCGGGGGTGGTGGTGTCTGTGGACTTCTGTCTGAACAGGTGTCTCAGGCTGGGAGGGACCAAACCTGCAACCACCCAGCCCCTTCCCACCTGTCCGGGTTCCGCTGATAAGTCGGGACCATAGTGTACTAGTTATTCAATTTGTGAATCACTCCAGGATAAATACGTGGTTCTCTGAAAATAATCAGATCATCCCCAATTAATGTTATGGGGGGGGGAGAAAAAAAACAAAAGACAAGAGATTGGGGGTTGTATAGGAGAATAATTAGCCACCACAGTCGTTTTCTGTGTGGTAGAGGGGTTGATTACAGAGCTGCTTGCCCCCTGTGGGGTTACTGACCTTCTGTCTTCCTGCAGCTCAGGTCTGGGAAGCCCAGCATGAGAACGGGAGGATGGTCACGAAAACCGGGCTGGGCATGAATGCCTGGGTGTGCTACAATTCCCGAACCAGATACAGGTCTGTGTGAGCCTCAGATGGACACTGAGGCTGCCATTGCTTTGATTCTATCCATCTCACTCTCTCTCTCGCTCTCAGTCTCTCTCCGGCCAGGGGCAGGCCACTTGACCTCCATGTCCCTACTAGTAAAATAGGGATAATAACACAACCTTCTAAGGCTGCCTCTTACAAGTAATTGGCCAGTTTTTGCAGGGCACTTTGAAGAAAATTGCTGTGAAGATGTTCTGCCGGCCCTGGAATTTTCCTTGGTGCCAGTATCAAACAGACAAGGATGGCCAATGTTCTGATTCTGGCACTCCCAGCCGAACCATTTTCCCCAATTCAGTTGGAAGAGAGGAAGACGGGGGGAGGGGCTGTGATCACAGCCTGGGCCTGCCTGGAATATTAAAGACACAACCCTGCCTTTGATGCCTGCCTGCAACGCTTGTTAATTTTAATAGGAAGCGAGCAGAGGCGGGAAGTTTCTGCCTGGCACGGAAAAACAGGCTGAGGCCAAAGGGGATTAGTGTCAACTCAATTTGAATCTTGTGTGGCTTTGAAGTCCTTGGCCCAGTGTTAGACGGAGTTAAAGGACAACTCCTAGATGTCAACAGGGTGGGAGGCAGGGGGCTGGGGAAAGTGCAGACCTAATGGCCCCTCCGTTCCCAACTCGGCCAAGAACAGCCAGCCTCTGTCTCATTTTTGGGAAACACCTTGGAGTCAACAATCCCTCAAGCTGGTAAACTTCTGGGAAGTTTCAAATAGTCTCCAACTAAAGTGCCTGCAGGGACTAGGCAGTTAACTCTTACGAGCAAAGAAAGTTGACTATATGTAGCAGGGAGTGGTGGGGCCTGTGGCAAACATGGTAAGCTTTAGTCTAATATTGAGATTTGGGAATGAGGGTTTAAATTTGTCAGCTCTTTTCTAGGGGATTTATAGGAGAAATGTATTGCATTTTGTAGGAGATGTTGGAAATCTGAATTGTGTGTGTGTGTGTGTGTGTGTGTGTGTGTATGTGTATGAACGATCCCAATTTTTAACCACTGACCAAAGTTGTTTACTGTTTTTAAATACTCACTCTCCACTTGAAAAAACAAACTCATGAGCCAAAGCAGCCCATGGGGCCCTGTTTTGTGACCTCCGTCTTGGAATTTTAAAGCTTTGGGGGTGCAAAGTTGCTTAAAATTCACTGAGGCCTTTGGTTACCATTTTTAAGAGACTTCAGACCACTGCTTGGTTGAGGTCATCAGAGTCACCCAATGAGAGCCTTCAGAAACACAATTTTGGGGGGATTCTGATGCAGAGTGCTTGGAGTGGGAGTTTGAGAGGGTCTCATATTTTTTTTAACTCTTCAGCTGATTCTAATGTGCAGCCAGTTTGGGAAAATGGTGCCCTCATCAGTTTCCCTCAATGACTTTTAATCTTTTTTGAATCATAAACCCTTCTGAAAGCTAAAGAAACTTACCAACACTTTGCATAATGAAAAAAAAATTCTCATCCAGAAAAATTTTGCCTACAATGTCAGAGGGCCCGAGTACTCACCTACTCACAACCACCCAGTGAAAAACCTCAGCAGTACCCGACGTTGGAATCCCATGTACAAAAGTCATAAAAATGGCTTCTAGGGTCTCACTTGTATTCCTCCAGTAAGAGGGAGCTCATTACTTTTGGTAATAGCCTATTCTTTTTATGGGAGGATTATTAGAGTTTTGTGGATTCTTTTGTTTGTTTAGTTCATGTGTGTGTGTGTGTGTGTGTGTGTGTGTGTTTAAGATTTTATGTATTTATTTGGGGGAGAGAGAGCAAACACAAGTTGGGGGAGGGGTAGAGGGAGAAACAAACTCCCTGCTGAGTGCAGAGCCCAATGCGGGGCTCCATCCCAGGACCCTGAGATCATGACCTGAGCTGAAGTCAGATGCTTAAATGACTGAGCCCCACAGGTGCCCATGTAGCTTTCTTAAACCTGTTTTTATTCTTGGCTCATCCTATGTCTTGGGGTAGAAGACATCAGAAGGTCCTTTGCATAAAGTAGGTTGAGGGAGGTGGATTTTCTTTGCCTTAAACTCTTTCAAACTTCAAGGGAGACTCCCCTTTTCCTCATGGTTGAGGTTGGGTGTCCGTCATCCCTCCCTCTCTGCATCCATTCTGGGACTTTATAGATTTAATTCAAGCCAAGCCTCTTTTTCTGCATGTGGAAAAACCTCGTTTTGTACTCTGTTGTCTTGCTGTCTCTTTGATGGCTTTAGTCATCTGTCCTTGCCTGACACATGTATCCGGGCTTGAATGCAAACATCCTGAAATGTTCTCACTCACCTTTTATCCCAGGGCTTCTGGAAAAAGGAGCACATGTGCCTGCAAACATGGGCCTGAGTAAATGCCACAAGAAAGCTGGGAAAATGACATCCTCTTATCAACCCTGCAGGAACAGTGATGACTGGCCACTTGTCACTGAATAGACATCCCATGGGCCTGGTAGGGTCCCACTCATGCATTCATTTACACATTCTTGCCACAAATATTTACCAAGTTCCCAAGGGGTACCAGGTTCTAGGCTGCATGTTGCAGACAGAGCAACCAATAACACATGCAAGTTCTTGCCCTCCAAGAGTTTGTATTTTAATAGGGGAGACAGAAGACTAGCAAGTAAGCACACCTGTGAATAATTATAAGGTGGGATGTGGCATGCGAGATTACTCTAGATATATTAAGGGAAACCCAATTCAGACAGAGCAGATGATCCTCTCACTGAGAGTTGTGTGGGAAGGGTGTCCCAGGTAGACAGAACAGCATATGCAAGGTTCCTGTGGCTGAGAAGAGTTTGACTTTCACCAGAAACCCAGAAAAGGCCAATGTAGCTAGAGATAGTAACTAAGAGGGAAGAGATATTTCAAGAGCTTTGATTCAAATGCCAAGAGGGTTCAGCAGGTTTCATGAACTAGTGAAGGAAACCAGGTCAGAGACAAGGGGGAGCACTGGGGTCTGCGACAAGCTGGCACACACATGTCCCGTGTAAATAAAGGAAGGAGCCACCAATTAGCTCCAGCTAGCCTCATACCTGTGGCGCTGGCATCTGTGGGCCCACTGTTGCCACGCCTTTAGATCTTTCGAGAGAATCCTCAAATTTCCATTTCTCTACAAGCTCTTCTATTAAAAACAAAAAAAACACACTGAGATCATCACACGTTTAAGGCCAAATGTGGCCTGGGTGCTGTCTTGTTATAACCCCCGGGCTGAGTAAATCCACAGTAGAGAATTTAAGAATTGTAGAGCAGGGAGTGTCCCCTCATTCATATAGGTAAACTGAGGCCCAAAGTACCCTCAGCTTCCAGCTCTTGCTCTATTGGGTAGTTTCCTGAGAACATGAGCTGCCTTTTGGGGTCATTTCCTCTTTGGGCCCCAGGCAAGAACTTAACTGTGGGGCTCAGTTTCCTAACTTGAAAACAGACACACTGAGGCCAAGTTTGGTGGCTGCCTGGGGCCACAGCGTGTGGGGGTAATTAGGGTTTGTAAACACTTTGAAGCTTCTAAGAGTAAGTACCCAGCAAAGTTCAGAAGGGGATTTCAAAGGGCTTGTTTCTTCAAGAGCCACCACTGTATCTCTCCCAACCTCTCCCCATCTCCGGGGGGCTTTACCCAGAAGGGAAATGAAGGGGTGGCTGCTCTCTGCAGTGGGATTCCAGAAGGCTCCTCTGTACATTCACGTCTCCCCACCAACCTGTTGTCCTTTCCTTCCCTCCTTTCTGTTCCTCTTTTCTTCCTTGCACACTCACGCCATCAGCCCTTCCCATTGCCAGTCGCAGTGAGTCACATTGCCGGCTCTAGGCATGCAGTCTCATGGCCGCAGGGACTCAGAAACCACACGTGCAGCGTGTGTGACAAGACAGAACCTTTGGAGAAAGGGTCATAGGAGTAAATAACCCATCTGGGGGTTCAGGCCCCTCACTGCCCCCCTTCCATCCTCAGAAATGAATGCTTCAGCTGAAATCTGTCATTGAGCAAGAGTTAGCCAGAGCAGAAAGGAGAATGGGGGAAGATAGTCTAGGTCGAAGGAACTTCCATGATCAGGGGCAGCAGGAGGAATGTAAGGGAGCTCTAAGTGTTCACACACCTGAGAGAGGCCCCCTGGCAGGGGCCTTGGAGCTGTGGGAGGGGCGGGGGAAGCAAGAACTCCTGTACCCTCAAATGTCCTTCTGGCTAGACGAAGAATCAAGTTGAGTTGAGACAGATTAATAGAAAATCAAATTTCTATTCCACACACATGGAAATTCCAAAGAGAGGCAGACAAAATGAAGCTTGTGTGTCATCGTGAACGGAGGGAGAAGTGGGTAGGGGCCTGGGACTTCAGAGCAAAGGAATGCACTTCACGGGCCAGAAGAAGAAAAGCAGATGTTCAGTAATTAGATGGCTGCCCTGCCATACAGATGGGTCACTCAGATAAAATTTAGCTCTGGTAATAACCCTTATGCTATAAAAGACCCCCAATTCAGATTCTTCTAGGTAATTGGAGGAGGGGCAAAGCTTCTCTTGAGCCCACAGGGTCTCGATGGCTTTCAGCTCAAAATAATCTTCATGCCAAAGTGGCCCATCTCAGGATGACCTGTGCTCACCCCAACAGAGCCCCAGGCTGAGTGGTAGATTCAAGGCAAGGAAGCTGATAGGAACCTGCTCCTGGGGGAGCGGGGCCAGTGGCTGGTTGGAAGGGAGCCTCAGAGCAAGGGCAAGGACTAATTGATTGATTTTATTTTTTTAACTGTTTTCCCTGAAGGTAATAGGGTAGTAAGAAGTTTCTGAATTTCAACCCAAAACGAAATGTTAGGATTTGATTGTCTTTTTTTTTTTTTTTAAGAGCTCAGTGGTTATTTTCTTGGGTTGATCTTGTCAAAGGAAAAGCCTGGCAAATGAATCCCTTCTAATTTCGTTCTTCTGTGATCTCCAAATCCCCTTTCTGCACATTTTCCATGTCCTAAGACACCAATACATTACCCGCACAGTGGGTACTATTATAAATCCGTATTTGCAAGGAGAACACTAGCCCCGAGAGGTCATCTGCTAAGGTCATCCAGCCAGGAAGGGGCAGAGTGGGGATCTGAACCCGTTTATCTGTTTCCAAGCCCTGGGCTCTGCCTACAAGAAGGGTATGATCAAGATAATGATGGACAGCTCGGCCATGACCCACCTCAGTCAAGTCCCGAGGTAGAAAAAGCCCCTATATGTAGAGATGTCCCTGCAAGTGTTGGACGGAGAAAAACAAAAAATCCCATCTCAACATCAGCCTCTGCATGGAGGTGATTCTAGGGGCCGCTTGGAGGAGCGGCAGCTCTGGTGTCGGCATACTAATGAGGCAGGGACGCCAGTGGCTCATTAACGAGGGCCTGACCTCCCGGGTTCTCAGGATGCCAGCTTTTGCCCAAGTCTTTTCTCCTTCAGAGAACACTGAGCTGGTTCCTGGACCGGATGCAGCACAAAAGGGCCTTTCAGGGCTTCCTTTGAATGAAGCATTCTGTTCCCACCACAGCTTTTTTAAGACCTGGGGAGAAAACAGAAATCCAGAGGGACTAAGAAGTTCTGTTCTTCAAGAATGGGCAGGAGGTGTGCTGCAAAGTCCCAGGACAGGCCTGCCCTGGGCTGGGCACTGGCAGCTGGCGGCTGAGAAGGGGCGGGGGCGCTGGCCTGGGCCTGGGCTGAGTCACGTTCCCAACTCCCATGGTAAATTATCGCCCTTGGTTTACAGCTAGTAAACCCGAAAGGAGACTGGAGTCATTAGGATGGCTCTGGTCCAGATGCACCAGGAGATACAGATCCTATTCTTTTCAGTTCGCAGAGGGGTCCAAAAGAGGGCTCAGCCTGGGATTAATGCCGTGGGTTTCTCTGTAGGAAGGCTAAGTCTGCGGTAGAAGATGTAGACCTTCATACACAGGCAGGGAGAGATGACAGAATAATACAAACAGCTTTGAGAGCAAGTGATGAGATATTCATCTATGCTTAGAATAATAGCAATGCAAATTAAAACCTCAACCAGATATCATTTTTTAAAAATCTGATTGGCAGAGATCCGAAAATGTGAAGTGTGCGAGTGCAGAGGCAGTGAGGAGCTAGGCGTGCGCAGCCTACGGGCCCCCCGCAGCAGCATCCACGATGGGGAAGGCTTGTGGACTTCCACGGAGCACCTCCACTTGTGGGAAATTATCCTAGATAATCTATTTACACATTGTGGCCGAAGAAGTGGGTGCAATTCATTGTACTTTTGCTTATAAAAGATTGGAAAAGGACTAACTGCGTAACAATGGAGATTGGTTCAAGAAATTGTGACACATCAGTGCAATGGAATTCTAGGCAGCCCTTAAAATTATGAGGTCACCCCCTATTGTCCCCATACAGAAGCATCATGAAGATATACAGTGTTAACTGAGGAAAAGCAAGGTGCACAATGGTGAGCACAGCAAGGTACAGAATGCCACCATTTGTGGTGGGAAAGTGGGAAGAGGCCACTGAGACATGCACGTTTGTATATGGACAGGATACATCTGCAAAGAGACTCAGGAAACACCTAATTGTCGTGGTTATCTCTGAGGGGGTGCTGGGCAGCTAAGGGTCCGCTCAGCCGGGAGGCAGACTTACACTGGAGGCTTGTCTATAGCATTTGAATTAATTTTACCTTAGGGGTGCCTGGCTGCCTCAGTTTGTGGAACATGCATGTCTTGATCTCAGGGTTGTGAGTCCGAGTCCCACGTCAGGTGTAGAGATTACTATTAAAAAAAAAAAAACAAAGAACAAGGGTGAATTACTTTTACCATATTACTTTTTCAAAAGGAAAGGAAGGAAGGAAAGAAGAAAGGGAGGGAGGAAGAGGGCAGGACAAAGTGAGGGATGGAGGGAGGGAGGAAAGGAAGAAACAAAGAAAGCGTAGATAGGCAAAAGAAAAAAGGGTTCAGTGGCAATCCCACCACGCTAATAAGACTTTGGCTTGGGCACCTGGGTGGCTCAGTGGGTTAAAGCCTCTGCCTTTGGCTCAGGTCATGATCCCAGGGTCCTGGGATCAAGCCCCGCATTGGGCTCTCTGCTCAGCAGGGAGCCTGCTTCCTCCTCTCTCTCTGCTTGCCTCTTTGCCTACTTGTGATCTGTCTGTCAAATAAATAAATAAAATCTTAAAAAAAAATTAAAAAAAAAAGATTTTGGCTTACATCTTTCTATTGTTTTTGAATTAATTTCAAAGTTAAAGAAAATTGACAAGAATAATACAAAGAACTCACACATATCTTTTACTCAGATGTGCATGCAGTCACATTTATCTCTCTCTCTACATAATATTAATAACTTGAGAGTAGGTTGCCCCTTTACTGCTAAAAACTTCATTACGTATTTCCGGAACACAAGGATATTAATTTACACAGTCATTATAATCAGCACAGTCAGGAAGTTTCACGTTGATACAGTCCTATTATCTAGTCTGCATCAATTGTCTCACTCATGTCCTTGATTGCAATTTTTCCTTCTGCTCCAGAATCTGCTCCAGATCCACACTATCACATTTAGCCACCAGGGGTTTTTATCTTCCTTTCATCTAAAACAGGTCCTCTGCCTCTTTTTCTTTTATGACCTTGACATGTTGGAGGAGTACCAACCGGTCATTTTGCAGAACGCCCCTCAGAGTTTGCCTGATGCCTGACGATGTAGATTCAGGCTTGGCGGTTTGGACAGTAACCCCGCGGATGTGATCCTGGGTCCTCAGTGCATCCGATCAGCATGTTAGTGACGTCACTGTGTCCCATTTTTGGTGTCACACACGCATTTTTTTAAAACACAGAAATTACATTCAACTAGCTACTTTGTAACCTTTGTCCCTCCCTAGTGATATGCTGTGACGGTCTTTGTTTTAAAATTTGTTTTGTTTGTTTTTTTTTTAAGATTTTATTTATTTATTTGACAGACAGAGATCACAAGCAGGCAGAGAGGCAGGCAGAGAGGGAGGAGGAAGCAGGCTCCCCGCTGAGCAGAGAGCCCGATGTGGGGCTCGATCCCAAGACCCTGAGATCACGACCTGACCTGAAGGCAGAGGCCCAACCCTCTGCCAGGGGCCCCTGTTTTATTTGTTTTTGAAGAGATAAGATAGTCAGATGGTTCAAAATTCAAAGGGAACAAAAGGGGAAGCAGCAAAAGTCTGTCTCCCTCCCCCAAGCCAGCCCTGCAGTTCTCCTTTACTGTGACAACAGCTCTTCCCTGGTTTTGTGTCTCTTTTTCTGCTGATATTTTATATACACATCTGATGAGAGCCAGTGAGGCCAGTCTATGGTGACCATCTCAATGAGCAGCATGTGGAGGGGTCCCCACTTACATCATTGTTTTAGGAGGATGGCCAGAGGCCTACAGTTTCCCAGGATCTTTCAAGAGGATCCTTTTTTTTTTTTTTTTAAAGATTTTTTTAAAGATTTTACTTATTTATTTGAAAGAGAGCAAGTGCACAGTGCACATAAGAGAGGAGAATAAAACTCCCCACTGAACAGGGAGCCTGATGCGGGGCTCTATTCCAGGACTCTGGGATCATGACCTGAGCCAAAGACAGATGCTTAACTGACTGAGCCACCCAGGCGCCCTTAGAAGGCTTCTTTTGATCCTTCTGGAAACAGCCAGGTTTCTCCTGGAGCCCAGCCTGATGGATGAGCTCAACCTCCTCTGGCTCAGGGCTCCTCTGCCCCAGGAATTCCTGCCCTGCTGAGACACTGTCACCACCACAATCCTCACCCTAAACAGTCCTGTC